CGAGGCCTTTTTACAGTTTTTAAAAATTCAACTTCTGTTACAAACATATTCATAACAGTTAAAGGATGTAAACACAGGGCAGCAGGCCAGATAGCTAAGCGGATTAAATCTGAGCCTGTTTTGTCAGAAGCAGGGGCCCAGGAGCAGCCCCCAGGGCACAATGAGACAGCAATTCTGCCCTTGTAATCCCAGCACTTGGGAGGCTGTAAATAGTAGGATCACTATAAGTCCGATCTATGCAGTGAGACCCTGTACACTCTAAACACTCTAAAACCTGTCCTAAATAAAAAAAGGAAATACAAGCATATAAGCATACAAGAGATTTAGTTAAATGTTATTACACAACCATATGATGATATATTCTTCAGACTTCAATATTATCTTTTAATACAATATTTATTAAATAAATACTAACCAATTTTGTCAAGAATAGTGTGAGTTAACATCTGGCCATATTTATGGTATGAGATTGGAAAAATATCAAATAATGTACAAACAGCTGCTGTCTTTATTTAGAGAATTTTATGTCAATTTCATAAGTTATATAAACATAATATAAAACAATTTTATCTTATATAAACACATGGTACTTACCCACACATACACACATATATAAAAGGCATAATGATATCTTGTAAAATAGTGTGAAAATACTTATAATCTGATGGATAAATGGGCAAAGTACATGAACACAAGCTTTGCAGAAGAATAAATTCAAATGGACCATAAACCTATGAACAAGTTCTCCAACTTCAGTAGAAAGTAAACAGGATGTTGATTAGGCATAATATATCATAGTTGTTAGCAAGTAGTGTGCTAAAGAAAACTACTCACTCAATGTGTGCTTTGAGATAGACTTATTTATGACTGATGATAAAGTTATACATACATTAAAGATCAATTTTGCAATATGCATCCATATACTTTAGCTTGGCATTATTTTTTTAGTCATCAGGATCTTTCCAAGAGTCAATCCTGAGTATTAAATTGTAACTGATGCTAGTTAGGTTCACCAGAGTATAGTATATTTATAATAATGAACAATGGTGGGCAATCTACACACCCCACATCAAGGGGATACTGAAATGAACTCTATTCTATAGATACAATTGTGAGCATAGTTTTTAAACAAAAATAAAGACTACGTGACCTTTAAGAGGAAATAAGAAGCTATTTATATCTTTCCACATTTCTCAGATCTGGAAAGCAAGGTGGTGAAGCTGAGGTCAGTGGTGTTACGTGAACGGCACTTAGAGTCCACAGGGTATGGCCCCATGGCTGTCGTTTCCCCTTCATGCCAGGCCACAACACAGTGCTGCCCCTGAGCCACACAGGTTGTCAACAAGAAGCCACACCATTTGCAGATGCATTTGGTGAACACAAAAATGCAACAATGAATAAACTAAAATAAAAATAATGAAGTAGAATAAAGTGTCCTCAGCTATTCTGAGCTCATCTGCCTCCTTAGCGTGGCCCATTGCTCGCTCCCACGATGGCACACAGATAAGTTGTGTTGATGTGAAACTTAGGGAATAGTCCCAGCCATGAAAAATACTATGCCTGGGATTTGGGTTAAACAGGTCCCAGACATCCCAAGTCCATCCTTGTCACAAATAGGATTGTCAGTCTCTCCAAGTGAAATATTTGTGATTCTCTAAATACCCACTTTAATGTCTCAGGTAATATTTAGATTAACTCAGGATGTTAAGTTAGAACATCATACTCATTTGCACATACATGTGACTACTGAATATGAAAATTTTCTATTTTCTATTTGAAAATCATACAAATGTGTGCCTATGCTTTTTGTAAAGTGGTTTTTTAGCCCAAACTCAAATGGCTAGGTAAAGTCAAAGTAGGATATTTTAATTTCAGTTTTGAACTATATTGGGAATTCTTGATATATTATAAGGTTAATTGTCATAGTTTCTGAAAGATTAAAATCATCTTTAATACTATGAAAATCTTAACAGTTTAGGGGTCAAGATAGATGAATATATTCTTAGATGCTAAATCAGCTTTAATAGTTCAAGATTTTTGAACTGGGGAGATAGCTCAGCAGTCCATGTACCTGCCTAGCAAACACAAGAATCCAAGTTTCATCCTCAATATGGCATGTCACCCCACATGCTGGCCACCGAAACCAGGTGTGGTAGTGCACGCTTGTAATTCCAGTTCTGGTCAGGCTGAGACAGGAGGATCACTATGAGTCTGAGCTGTGTACCAAATAGATAATTAAATAAAAGATTTGTAAAAAAAGAAAAATAAAAAGATTTTCTACCTTAAAAACTAAAAATTAATGCCAAGTATAGTGGCACATACCTGTAATCCTAGTACTCTAAAGGCTGATGCAGGAGAATTACTGTGAGTTTGAGGCCAACCTGGGAGACAAAGTGAGCTCAATGCCAGCTTGAACTACATAGCAAGACACTGTCTCAAAACAACAGCAATAACAACAACAAAAAAAGCCTGAAAATTGTATGGCATAGCATGTCAAAAACCTGAAAAATTTTAGCAAAACATATAAAATATACATTTTTAAAAATTCAATTTTATCTTATTTTGAAGAGTAAAAACACAAGCAAAAACAAATAGAAAAAAGACAGAACTAGAGTAACATACAACAATGCATATGTTACAGATTTTCAAAATAGGAAGAGCTAATTAACAATGGTTGTTATATTATTTATATTTATTGTCAAATCTGTTGCTCAGATTAACAGATACAGTTATACAAGATTGGACGAATAATTGAATATTAACACTTGCTCTCAAGAAATCTTAATTTTTGTCCATGTCTTTAAAAATTATTTTAAAGAGAGTATAATAATTGATAAGACATTTGAAATGGTACACATTTAGAAGATCAAGAGGGCAGGTATTCAGCCATGGGTTTTGTGTTACACATTTTCATCCTCGATGTGGTTGCTCAAATTCCAGATATCAGCATATAGTTAGTTATGGTGGAAATTCTAAACATTAACTGTTATTTTCAAAAAATGTTGGAAATTATTAGTACAATCACCTCAGTCATTTTGTATATCCTCCTTGCTTTTTTCCTATTTTTTCTCCTTTCTCTCATCTTAGTTGTTTAATCCCTAAATTCAATTTCTAAACATATGGAAAGCCTCACGAATGTGTGTGTCATCCTTGACCAGGCTCCATGCGAATCTTCCCAGTATCATTCCAATTTTAGTATATGCACTGCCAAAGTGAGCACAAAAATACAGATTATTTAAACATAATTTACATGTGACGTAAAAATTATGTCTGTATGTTTTAGTATAAGAATGGAAAAGTATGGCCCATCATATCAGCTATTCTTATCCAGTTTTTGTGAATGTACATGTAAGTTTAATTACTTTCTATTTTCTACAATTAATCAAGTATTTTTGGAGTTTGTTTAAAAGCTATATGTTAGGGCCGGGGAGATGGCTCAGTGGAATAAGTGCTTCCCTGGCAAGCGCAGGGGCCTGAGTTCAATCCCTGGTTCCGAAAAAGAAAAAAAAAAGCTATATGTTTAAAAGATATAATGTTTAAATCTGAGGTACAGGATCTCAGGATAAATCCTGAGGGCATTTCACTGACCTTCTCAAACCAAAAAGCTACAACTCTTGTTGCATAGGTTCTGCTTTACCTTGGTCTTAACCATCCAGTAGAAAAGTATGAAGATGAAATATAGGAAGTAAAGCCATGTTGTTATGTTGAGCTGTGGGAGACTCAGGTCAATAATTTCTGACATTGCCAATTAAACAGAAGACCCAATGCTATTATGGGCTTCTGTACTCTTTTAGAATATTTTGCTGAGTTTACACACCTATAATATTCAACAACGGAACTTAAAAAAAATTGGGGTATAACTGTGAATGTCCATTTTGTATCTGTGTATTCAAAGTGGTTGGGATAGATATATAGTTGCATTCTCTTAATGAGTAGAATGATTTTTTCTAATGGTGTTTGTAAGTAGGATCACAAGTCTGCATCTTGTACAGCAATTAACCACTAAGAAGAATATATGTAGTGTATTATTTGTTGAAACTGTACTTTCGATTTGATTTGAAACTGTCTCATTGCTATATGTTTATCAATAAAACTTTGAAAAGAAAAAAAATAAAAAAAGATATAATGTTTAAAAGACATGTTTAAAAGCTATAATACAATTATAACATTATTTTTGTAAAATATCGATGAATCTATATAGTGCTTATATATTCTATATACAACAAAGAATTCAATAAAATTAAAATAAATTATCTCCTACACTGATCCATCAATGAAGGAAAGAATAATGGCTAGAAATAGCTCTCCTGCATGAGCTTCTTCAAACCACTGGCAAGTTTATCCTTTAGACTTGTCATGTTAGACTGAATTTTGCTTTCCAAAGGACCACAGCAGACAGTCGAGCATCTATTATTGCTAGCGTCTCCAAGACAATAGTCTTCCATATTGCCCACAGAGGCCCTTTGCGGATTGCTTTGACATCGATGTGAGGAGAAGCAGGAGCAAGCTCAGGACCATCACGTGGCCACGCAGGTGCGACTGCACGGAATCAGGGATTCTCCGCAGGCAGAGTTGCCACGGGAAGCACCGTACCACACATAGATCTTGACCCCACAGACTGCTATGCACACTGCCACCTGGAAGTGTAACTCTGCCCCAGCGCAGCTGAGCTGCACTGAGGTTTTATTTGTTTGTATTTCGGTGTCCAAGAGCTCTTTTCCCGATGTCAAGTTACGAGTTCTCTGAGTTATGATCATCATTAGAGGTCTACAGTGATGGCGCCAGCGATTTCCGGAAACTCAGGAATCCGGTGACGCATTGGTGTCTGTCCTGGTCCCCTTGCTGTTCATTACTTTTTTCATTTCCTCTTTCCAAACAGCGTGTATTTCCAAGCACTTTTTCCTATTCATTCTTAAATGGTAGAATTTAAGCTCTGAAGTATATTTACATTTAAATGGAGTGCTGGAGCCTTTTGGTAATTCGAAAGCTTTCCAGATTTTCAATGAACTTTTAAAAGGTTCCTGGGTTGAAGTTTTGCCAAGAGCAGGTCTATTGTGAATCATGAGAAGCTCGGGTTCAATTGCGGACTAGCCAGTCATCAATCCGGGACAAACAGGAGCTTTCAAAAGCCAGCAATCGGTCTCAACTCCTCAGTCTCTTGTTCAAAGCCTTCAGAGATAGGCAGCCCTGCTCATCTCTCCCCCGAGGCCCAGCCTCCTCACGTGTGCTGTCGTCTCTGCCCTCATACTCTCGCTTGTGCCGGGAAGCCCCCAGAACCCACCTGACTTCAAAGTGATGTGTCAAGCTCACTACGTCCTCCACCATTCAACTTCTATCCCATTACCAATTCCTTGGTTTTAAATTGTGCGTGTGTGTGTGTGTGTGTGTGTGTGTGTGTGTGTGTGTGTGTGTGTTTATAGATAAACTGCTATTATAATTAGACAAATAATGCTGTGTCCTAATAATGTGCCATTCCCATACATTATATAATTATCAAATCAGAGGCCTGAGAACATCTATCATCTCGTGCTTTTATTATTTTTGTGATGAAATAGTCACCTGTTCTAGCTATTTTTAAATATGTATTATTGTTGACAGTAGTTATTGGTAATATAGGAGAAAAGGCAGAATTTAATCCTTGTGATTAACTATCACCTTATATGTATTAGCTATCCTCCCACTACTGGTCAGTCCAAATCCTTGATTTAAGGTTTTGCACTAGCCTTCAGAGTCTATATAACTGACCCACAATATCACACTTTGCTTTGACAAGACACAGCCTATGATTTTTGTTGTATGACTTCTTTATAATTATATTCATGTTTATGAAGTTCCTGGAATATAGTCAGTATTGCCTGAGTCTTTGTGCAAAGTATGGCAAGTTAATTTCCCTCTTTCAGGAACAGAATTCTAATCAGGGTCTCAGGTATAATAACAAAAATGTCTGATAAAGTTATCATGAGGATTAAACGCGGAAGTTCACATAAAATCATAGACTAATACCTAGTGAGCACAGCAGCTCAACAAACTCAATAGTCTCGTTAACAAATGCTCTTTTTGTGTTTCCTTTTTACCTTAGGCTTATACGAGACAGAATTGCCGACAGCTGTGGGTGTTCTTTACCTTCCTAAAGCACAATACAATTTCTGATGACAAGGAGCATATTATTGGAAGGCCAAAGATATTGCGTGATTTCCATTATATCCTTTGAAAACTCTATGCCTACAATATAATTAGATTAAAAACATAAAGACTCTTCTTTACTGAAGATTGAACTCAGGACCTTATGCTTGCCAGGCAAGCACTTATTTTACTGAGCTATCTCCCCAGCCCAGGATTTTGACTTTCAAATGAAAATTTTCATTTACCTTCCACTCCACTACTTCTTCTGGGAAATGGATATAAGCAACAACATTCCTCAAAAGCGACATGCTTTGTCCCTTTAATTTTGGGCTGCTTTATTTTTCACAAAAGCCGGCCACAAGGAGGTATGTGCTATAGATAGATGACATTTCTTTTCTAATTTAGATGAAAGAACTATGAAATATTGGTGTTTGGTTGAGCATACCGGGTTGTTCCAAACTGAGACTTTTGATCTCGAATGCAGACCTGCCACAACGCTGTATTTCAGATTGATGGATAGCGTTGCCGGCATCATATTTTCATTATTTTCTGCTCTCCTGTTCCACATGCCAAACCACCACTAAATCACAGATACTAAGCTTTGAATGAAGTAAAATATCTAGGAATTAGAAAGGAGAGCTCTCTCTTTATTTACTTACCTCATCCCATGACATATTTCCCATCATTCATCCATTTTCCCAACTTCCCAGCCTACCCTTCGCCATGACCTTCCTTTAAGTTTTTTACATTTTAAAAGCCAGAGCACAGGGGTCCAAAGGTGCTTGGGCTTTGCTTGAGCTCAAAGCAAAGCATACACACAGAGCAAAACAAAACACCTGACTCTGGGCTCAAAATTGTTTCTAACTCATTTTGTGCCTTTTAGAACTGTTTTCTCACCTATCAATAAGCCAATGCACTGCTGTTCAGTCTCTAATTCCCTTGCAAATCTATCCCTGATTTCTGATTTTTGTCTAGAACTTTGCCTCTTTGGCTTCTTTTCTTAAAAATGTGTTCTTTGATCAAGATTTTTTGTTCCCAAGAAAATTTAGCTAGTGAAAATTTTGGAATAAGATTTGGAAAAATGTCACTCTTGGTTGGACACTTAGCTAACAGATTAAAGCAGCATCTTCCAACAGCTTTCTAGGGGTCGTTTCATCTCAGCATCATTTTTACTTTTCTCAGCTGAATTCCAACTCAGGCAAGCAAATGGAATTTTACCAGGCCCTTTGAAACCCCTGGACATCCTAGTTCTTGGGCCACAGCTGCTATGCATTTGTTGAATAAATTTAAGAAAATAATTACTAATATAAATTTGAGATCACAGAATCACAGGAAGACCAAAGAAGACTTTAGAATAGAGAAAAAGGTCCAAGAGAACATAGAGAAGGCAGAATTCATAAAAGAGAGCAAAGGGGAAGGTTGTTGGGTGAAAGAGAATCCAAGGTGTTATTGATACAAAACAAATCCCAGAGGCACAAGAAGATGGGGAAGAGTGGGAGTGTAGAGGTGCTCAGTGACACAGGGACAGGCAACAGAGCACTGGGGACAACAGCTATGGACAGCACCCTCGTGGAGCTAGGAGTCTGGTGAAGAAGTTAGAGCCTGCATTGTAATTAGTAACAGGTGCAGCATGTGAGGCTACCGAAGGTGCTCTTTTATCATTGGAACATGAAACAGTGAAGTTTAGCTCTGCAAGTCAAAGAAAGCTTCACATGATAACCTGATACCTAAGGAAAGGAGAAACAATAGCATGCATAGAGTGGTGAAATTAAAGAAGTAGCCCAGGAATGGAAAACCCCAAGAAAACGCCAGTGCCTGTGGAGAGAGGAATGGCAGAGGACTAAGAGGGGTGAGTGGTGTGAGACGGAAGGGTGCAGAGGAACCCAGGGTAGGCAAGTAAGAACATAGACTATGTGGTAATGACAAGTAGATGACTAGACATATTTTAAGCAACAGTAATACATCCAAGGAAACATATTCGGCCCATAATTTGATGTGAACATTTCGAGAAATGGCACATAAGATTTACTAGAAAGTATTAAAAAGTAGATTATTATGGGATTTCAGAAAATGAATATAAATTCTCTATTAAG